TTGAACATCTTCCAGGCATCACTCCTATCAGTCATATACCACATGCCATTTTATCTTGCTGTATCTCTGAAATAACTGGCTGACTGTGAGAACTATGCTATAATGAACTTAATGACCTACAGGAAACAGTGCTTGTGTATTACTATGGCAAGCACAAGGTGTATTTTCTTTGTGATATCTTTGCTGATGATTCATGATCTTCAAATAACTGGTGATGAAGAATGGGGAGGTCACTTGTGTGCTAATCCCCAAACACCTCCATGGAATGTCCCTCCAAGAATGGTATGAATCCTTACTGAGCAGGCCAATGTCGATGATCTGAGGAACATTCTACCCCTGTATAATGTCATGCTCAGCCAGACTAAAGCTGAGGTATGTATTAGCTGTTTCTCAGACCCTTACCCTCATTATTGACTATGTTCTAAGCCAGAATGGCCCTTTGTGATATTACCATGATCAACAAACATGGAATTTTGCATTGAGATGTAGAGCTGCAAAATATCCTTGTTACTGATAGCTTGATGAACATTTGTTTCATCAATTTTCCAAGATGCAATATTAATTTGACTGAGAAAAAGATCAAGGAGCTCAGAGATAATGAGCAAAGAGCACTCATGACATTGATGATGCTGTTTTTCTAGATCATTATGATGATCTCCTTGAATGGGTGGAGAAGTAGGGTACTCCAGGAGGTGATCTTACCTATCCCAGGGTATCCATATAAATAAATATGTGCTCCATTTTCATCAGATAGTCATCCATAACTTTTGCTTATGAACAAAGGTGATGACCATGAGAGCCTTTGTGAGAATGATAGCATTCAGAGAAAGATTGAGGAGTATGACCACAGAGCATCCTCTCTCAAGTGGATTCCTACAGGAGTGCCTGACATAAAGATGCTCTTCTTGATGGGCTTGACACAAATGAAGAGATGAATTAGCATGGCATGCATATGAGATGGAATTTGTACCTATGAGCACATGCTAACACAATGGAGATGAACTTGGGTCTGCCAGAATAATCTTGACAACTGGATGGCATTGGATTATGATGAGGACCTTGGAAGGATCACACTTGTAACATGGTCTAGGAAGATTACCATTGTTTATCTGTAGCTGAAACATATTCCTGTGAGTACTATCATGTCAGCTACAAGATTGTCTTCTTTATACATTGACCAGGACCAATTCAGCAAACCATGATTTGGATTCAGTGTGAGCCAAGTTGATCCCAGTCGATTGTCTCACTGCTGTGATGGATCAGTGTTTACAAGGGGCCAAATTGTGCAGAATATTTATGGTACAAGGAAAACCACAAGATGTTGTGAGCCTTGCTGGATGGTGAATGCAGGGAGGAGGGGAGAGTCCTGAGTGAAGGAGGAAGACAGAGCCACTCTACTACATGTGGCAAAGTAATCTAAACAATGTGCTTCAGACATATGATGATGGGTGTAATGATTATATTCCCTAGGCTGACATCCCAATGCAACATTAATAGGGGGGCTTGTAGTCTGTGTGGAATTAGCTAAGATGTTGAAATTTGGACCAGCCTTGATGGCCAAGTCTCCCACTTTTAAAGATCTCTCGCAGTACCATGCACTCTAAAAGGGAGCAAACTCCTTGCTATCTGAGTCACAGTTGACTGAAAAGTAGTAAACTGTCTAACATTTAGATGACTGGGCTGAGATTGAGAAGATAGCCCATGATATAAGGGAATATCATCTACAATGTGTAAGGTTATAGGGCAGATATTTCCTGCTCATATTTGCCCTCAATCAGATTCATGGCATCCAGAATGCATAAAAAATGTCTTTTTTGAATAGTTTCCCTGAATGAAATAGACTCTAAAATATATATAAGAACTAGCTACTGTATGATAAATGGTCTGATTAATGTCCCATGAACCAAGGACTGGTACAACTCTGGAAAAATCTTATGAAAATGCTTGAGGAATAGAACAGTGCATTTGTGTACTTCTTCAGAAATGCATCTTTCTTGATTGTTAGAGCAACCACTGGGCTGTACCATAAATTCTGTTGCTCAACAGAACCAGTGATGGTGACAATCATGTCATTCACATTGTTAGGATCTTCCAAGCTCAGCTGCATTTGGTTCTTGAGGTACCAAAGTTCAAATGGTGGGTTGTCCCCATGTGCAGTGACCATTTGACAGGCTAGCTCATCTGGAGGAAAGAAGGCATTCAGCTTTGGTATACAGTCCAGTATCTCACTGTTGGTTCCATGTTGGAATATGAAGGTGACAATAATTGGTATGGTATAAGTGCCTAATGCATTTATTTTGTGTGAGAATACCAGGATGAGCTGAGGATGCACTGTTTTGAAGAAATATGACACCTCAAATACTGTTGTGCCCTGGATGGTGATACATTATTTCCTGATCGATGATTGGGCAATGATCATAATATCTGTGTTGGAGATGTGAGGCATCGGTGAAATGGTTTTGGAAGGACTGGATTCACGATTTTCAGTTGTTCATTGGTGAGAAAATACTGGATGTGACATACTGCATCTTTGCATATCTGAGAGCACCAAAATTGACCACACTGACATAAAGTAGTGGGGTTGCTTTTGATGAACATTTCTTTGCAGCCATAGCAGGTGAATAGCACATACATAATTGCCTGATATGTGGTAGTCTGATGGTAGAGTCAATAAAGTGTAAATGATAAATAGTGTTTGTAATGTTGAGATTTGAAAAAGGTGGTTTGAGAGTAGGATCATTGAGATGTCTTGTAGTAGAGTGTTTAGTGTTGAGATAGGCTGTTGAAAATGGTGTGACTTGATCAGAACAACAACAAATGCAAACTCAATGCCTTGCAGGCAAAATAGGCATGTATGTGAAATCTTGACTCCTTTTTTGTCTTTGCCTTTAAGTGAGACCTGCAAAATTCTAGTGACAAACCTTGAATGAGCACATCATATAGTGTACTGTGGTGGTGACAGAAGATATCATGTGACTATGGTATCATGAAATCAATCATTTACATTTTGGGACTTTTGCATGTTCACTGGAACCATGATGGTGATGGCTGATCAGCTGCTTTCTCTTGTGAGTGACAGTGATACATTCCATCTTATGATAAATGAATTATGAATCACTTCCACAGCAATGAGCTGGGAATGACTCATGCTTCTTTGCAGTTTTCAGTACTGTTCCTTTCTGATGTCGACATATTACTTGATTGATGCAAGAGAGTGAACCACTTTATCATTCAATTGTAGTCCATCTCTGTGACAGTAGAATTTACATCTCATCATCCTTACACTTGAATTTTTTGTTATCACTCCTTGACAATGTTGTTCCACTGCCAAGTACACCTCCAGTGGGTTATTCTGTGCTTGTACATACAAATTCCATTTCATATGTCTGGCAAGCTAATCCATCTCTTCATTTTTTTCAAGTCCATCAAGACCAGGTGTCGTTACATCAGGTGCTGCTGCAGGAAATCACTTAAGAGAGGATGCTCTGCAGTCATACTCCTCTATCCTTCTTCCAACCATTATAATGCTCACCAAGGCTCTCATACTTGTTGCTTCTGTTTTCTCTCATGCTATTCCATATGCTCATATTGAGTTGCACACTGTGAAGATGGTTAATCAGTCAGTACATCACCACCTTATGGATCTTACACTCTGCTGACTGTTGTATAGATGTGGTACCAGAATTGTAAGTTCAGATTCAAGATTCAGCTCCGACTTTCTTATTACCTGGTCATCATAGCTCACCCTAAGTCAGAATTTCACAGTTCTCTTGACCGGAACTGAAGAAACTGGCATGGGTCTCTTTGAATTGGCAATGGCATGAGTTACTCTCCTTGTATCACTGATTAATTGGTTCTCATTTCCTAGCACGCTCAACAATGACGACTGTGGTTTTAACCATGTGTACTGTACCATTGTGGAAATCACTCTGAAAAATCCTACGGTGCCCGGGGTTGACTGAAAGAGGTGTGAATCACAATGTTGTCCCGGAAAGTTGCGATTCGAAAGGGGAAGTTTGAGTTCTTTCAGAGGGTTTGTAAAGTTTTTAGCATTGAGAATTAAGGTATAACCCTGAATTTATATCCACCATCAAAGGAGTTTGAGGTCTGACTGGGATGAATCCCGATCCTGTTTCAGACTGAGACATCGACACAGATCGTTCGAGCACGCGATGTCCAAATTACCTGCAGATGTGAATCAATATTAGTCTGATTTAAGATAGCAGCTTGAATTGACCTCGACGAAAGGGCGACGAATCTAGACGTCAGGGCATAACTATGACATCGAATGCCCATCGATTTAGCGTGGCACAGGCTAACCAGCTTAATCTCGCTGTTTTTTTCATACAGCCCTCATGTATCTGCCTTTGAGCTTGGCTTGATTCTCGTTGTCCCAGATGTAGATCTGTTAACGAGCGGTATATTTTCTGCCCCTGTGACCGCTACTGCCCACTCTTACTCCGACTCAAGATTCATCCATGCATACAGTTGACACTCTGCTCCCTAATCTCACTACCTTGCACTGCCCGCCCCACCTGATCGTCCCCTGGCCGTTACATTTAGCAAAGTACATATAAACGACGTGCTCCAAACTTTCGATTCTGGGTGTTACGAGTATATTCCCTGGCCAGACATGCTGGTGAAATGTTAATACAGACACGTAGTCTCTGCAGAATTAGTCAAGACTTTCAAGTTTTTGACCGGCGTCTGATTTTGCCGCAATAGGGATCGACACCATAGAACGAGTCGCTCACGCTCAGAGATCTATGGCAGTCCCACGTATTGTGAAAGGGGGGAAGCTTCTTGGATTCTAGTCGCAGTTGAGTCCTGTATATCCTAATCTTCTCCAAGGTGGGAAACCGTCCAACGTTAAAACGATTGCATGGGCGAAATAACTGTGTATGCTAAATCTTGACTGTTTTTTTTTGGTCATCGCCTTTCAGTACTACCCCGCAAAATTCCAGTGACAAGCACTGAATCGGCGCGTCATATAGTGTACCATGGCAGTGACAGAAGATATCACACGGCCACAGGATCGACGTTCTTTCGTCTGCTGGAAGTGTAGAAGCGTCGTGCGCTTATCATATTGGTACATTACTGTGCTATGATGAAGGACGTCGCTCAGGTTAGCCCGCGGTGGGCGAAGAAACAATGGGGCCACGAAGCTGCGAGGATCATCACTATGCTTGATGCGCGATGGACTCCCTGGTTAGGATGGCTTGAGACTCAGTTGGGTCAGGAGCGTTAGATTCAGGTTTTTGATTTACTGCCGCCGATCGACGCTGGAGACGATGACTTCAGCGCACGTCGGCGACTTTGAGACAGGTGTTCATGGAGGCCCTGATGGCTGGTGATAAAATTTGTGCTGCAGAGCCCGGTACAGAAGCGGGGCGCGTGAAAGATGCAGCGCTGCCGCAAAAATAACTGGGGAAGGTAAACTTCATGGCAGTGCAGCGATTGTCCGTCAGTCCCAGCCAGAGCATCGAGAATATATCTATGCTTGAGGGTTATGCTCTGTTGCCACTCAGTACCACACTCTGAACCACACACGTAATACGCGATCACGCTGAGCATCGTCGTGGAAGGGGCCGATGATGAAGTTCAGAAGCAAGCCGTTTGCAAAGCGCTCCACGATAGTGCACCGCTCGGTCAGTGATGATTGAAGATGGATCTGAAACAGCAAGGAGAAAATAGGGGGAGAAAGAGAAAAAGATAGGATTTCAGTATTTTAATGGTTCTCTAGCCTCCTTTTTTGCACCAATTACCGTGTCTCGTCCATGGCCTATGTATATGTACTCTTCGACCTTGTCCAGCAGCGAATCCAAGGATTCACGATAATCGTTGTGGATTTGACGCTCGACTACGACCGATACCAAGAACCTTAGTAAATGAGTGAAATGACATCCAATGCGAGACTTACCTTCTTTGCCCTCCAGATCCACTGCTCCCTCACTTGCTTCGGGAAATAATCCTCGCTCAACACTTCTTTCCACCAGACGACCTTTCGTTTACATCTTACTTGTGTTGTTGGGGGACGGCGCGTGCCGCGTTCGAGATCCCGTTCTCGAGGATTCGATGACGCACTAAAGCGGAGCACCACGAACCTTTCTTTTTGCCATAATACCCAAAAATTTGTTCTCTCTTCGGCATTTGACTTGACTTTGGCGTCTACGGACCTGTTGACCTCCGAGTCAATAACATCTGGCTGACCGTTCATGTCAGGAAGTCGGGTTTCCCACCCTCTCCCTGTCAGGACCAAAATGGTCCTCGGGAGCACTCTCATTGGACTGGGAGTTCGGCTCAAGTGCAGACTGTCGCAAAAAATGGCGTCGATGGCGTGGGAGCTGGTCGTCTTTTCCTCTCCAACGTGAACGCTCGATGGCATTACTTCTGAGTTCTCGCTTCTCTGTTATTCCTTGACCTCATCCTATGTAGACACTCAAACAAAGACAGTTTGCTTTGACGTTTTGTTCCTTGCCAACTGACGTCGACTTCAGCTCTGCAGTTCAAAATCGGTCACCGGTATTCCATTCTGCGAAGGCGTCGTGGTAGAATAGATACTCGTTCCATCGCAGCGTGGTTTGCGCTCCACTCCTGGATAGGCTTAATTCAAGCACCTATGATCCTTTTTATGTTCAAC